TCCCTAATATCCAACCTCAACTTCCCTTGCTGCAACTTGAGACCATTGCTCCTTGTTCTGTCATCTGCCACCACTGAGAACAGTCCAGCTCCATCTTCTTTGGAGCCACCCTTCAGGAAGCTGAAGGCTGCTATTAAATCCCCTCTTAGTCTTCTCTCCTTTAGACTAAATAAGCCCAGCTCCCTCAGGCTCTCCTCACAAGTCATGTCCCCCAGCCCCCTCACCATTTTTGCTGCCCTCCACCAGATTGTCCAATTTGCCCACTTCCTTTATAGATTCGTAGATTTGAGGGTCAGAAAAGACCTCAGTGGGCCATCTAGTCTAACCCCCTGCCCCTGGCAGGCAAGAAAAGGGTCACCGAACCTGGGATCATATGATCCTAGCCAGGTGCCTGTCCAGTCTCCTCTTGAAAATGCCCGAGGATAGGGCGAGCACCACCTCCCTTGGAGGCCTGTTCTGTAGTGGGGGACCCAAAACTGGGCAGAACGCTCCAGATGTGGCCTCACTAGTGCTGAAAAAAGGGGAGTAATCACTTCCCTGAAGCTACTGGCAGTGCTCCTACCAATGCAGCCCGGTATGCCGCTAGCCTTCTTGGCAACAAGGGCACACCACTGGCTTGTATTCAGCTTATTGCCCACTGTCACCCCCAGGACCTTTTCTGCAGAGCTGCTGCCCAGCCAGTCGCCCCCAGCCTGTACCACTGCATGGGATTGTTCTGTCCTAAATGCAGGACTTTGCACTTAGCCTTGTTGAACCTCATGAGATTTCCTTTGGCCCAATCCTCCTATTTGTCTAGGTCACTCTGAATTCTAGCCCTACCCTCCAGTGTAGCTACTCCTCCCTTCCCCCACCAGCTTGGTGTCATTTGCATACTTCCTGAAGGTGTTGTTTGCATACTTCCTGCCATCTTCCAGGCCTTTGAAGACATTAAACAAAACCAGCCCCAGGACCGGCCCCTGGGGCACTCCACTTGATACCAGCTGCCAACTAGACTTAGAGCCATTGATTACTACCCTCCTGAGCCCAATGCTGCAGCCAGTTTTCTTTCCACCTTCCTGTCCATTTATCTAGCCCATACTTCCTTAGCTTGCCTGTGGGAATGCAGTGGGAGACCATATCAAAAGCCTATCTGAAATCAAGGTACATCACATCCACTGGTCTCCCCACATCCACACAGCCAGTGACCTCATCGTAGAAGGCAGCCAGGTCGGTGAGGCATGGCTTGCCCCTGGTGAGCCCATGCGGACTGCTCCTAATCACCTTCTCCTCCTCCAGGTGCTCAGAAATGGCTTCTTGGAGGACTTACTCCATGACTTTTCCAGGGACTGAGTTGAGACTGACTGACTAATCTGTAGTTCTCTGGATCCTCTGTCTTCCCTTTCTTAAATATGGGCACTCTTTGCCCTTTTTCCAATCATCTGGGACCTCTCCTGATCACCGTGAGTTTTCAGAAATGATGGCCAACGGCTCTGGAATCTCATCGGCCAACTCCCTCAGCACCCTCTTCCGTGCATCTGATTCTTTGAACTGCTTTTCCAGAGGCTGTCGCTGTCCGCAAAGCACAGTGAGTCGGGAGACCCGAGTTTGATTTCCTGGTTCTGTTACTGGCCTGCTGGGTGACCTGGGAGCTGTAGGTGCCTGGCATCTATTTGGGAGAAAACCCAAACAAGACTAATGAGCTCTGTTCAGTGGGGCATGTTGCCTGTCTGTCAGCCTCACAGGGTGCTGTGGCTTTTCTGGCTGCAGGCAGCAGTCTGCTATCCCTAGCAAATTTATCTGATATAGTTGGTTTCTACGTGGTTTGACCCCTGCATAGTGGGGGAGGTTTGCATGCTTGCCATTAGCCCCTGCTTGGAGTGTGAGTCGACTGTTTTTTATCAGATAAAAGCCAGATGGAAGCCTTGGTGTTGGCGGCGCGCCCGTCTAGATCGTGTCTGGCAGCTCCTTTGTCCTGCTCTGCTGCTGAGCCGTGGTGCCCGAAGGGCCTGCCTGCAGCATTGGCTGCTTCATGTTAGCATGGGCACCTCTGGGAGTCTGAGACTCATGTAGCCCCCTGGGAGCTTCACAGATACTGTGCTGGGGGAGCATCACAGTCCCCTGCAGAGACCCAAGTGTTATTCAAGTCCCAGTCTCAGTGGGGTCCCAGTGCTCTTCCAGCCCCCTGGTCAGGAGTGGATTTTGCTCCTGTAGGTACAAAAGAGAGGATAAGCTTGGGCGGAGAGGATTTGTAAGCTCAGTTCCCTGCTCTTACTACTGGCTTCCTGTGACCATTTGTGTTGTCTGTGTCTCCCTAACTTGGGGCTGATCTGTCCTTTGTCTGCCTTGTCTTATCACAAAGCAAGCTGTGCAGGGCAGGGGCTGTCTCCCTCCACGTGCGTGCATGCATGTATACACGGCACACAATGCAGCAGAGCACTACCTTCTAGGTGCTGGTGGTGAGGGAAATAGGAAAGCTGCATGGCAGCATATGCAGCCAAGTCCTCCTTGCTTTCCACAGGTAGGAGTGCCCATCAGTGGACAGTGAAAGCAACATCTGCCCTGCAGCGGGGTAATTCCTGAGGCACGTAGGGTGGAAGCACTGTCCTCTTGTCTCTCTCTTGCTGTTGGAACCAGGCAAAACAGATAAATCTTCAAATTTTCTCCTCTGGGATTTTGTTGCAAGCTTAGCACTGAGTGGCTGGAGCATTTGGAAGCCTTTTAGAGCCAGTTTGCTTTGGTGCTTTGGTTGCATGATCGTAGGACATGAGTCCAAGGGTTAAACTCTGCGTGCTGGTGGGAGGGAAGAGAGGCGATGGGATACAGGCAATGCCAATATGCAGCGGGGCTGCCAGTACCCCAGCCATAGCAGAGGGCCACCACCACTGACAGTGCTGTAACTAGCTGAGTGGGAGGTGGCTTCTGTGATGCCAAGGCTGGCACAGGGACCTCTCAGCTGCTACTCTTTGCTAGCAGGGAGATCCCAGAGGGTGGTGATGGGTGAGTGCTCATTGCCCCTTGTGGAGGACAGGGACAGCCATCACCGAGGGTTCATTCTCCACTTGTCACTCAGGTTCACAGCCTTGGCATCCTTCTGGATCGTCTGCTACACCCAGATCTTCCGGTGGCGGCAGTGTCGGGAGCACACGTCGCCTTGTCCATTCCAGTGAGAGGGTTATGACCCTTTCTTTCACATAAAGAAATGGCCCCAGTCATTTGTGCTTTCATAAGAGTCGGGCCAGATGACTTGAACATGCTTGGCATGGGACTGCTCTTGAGAAACATGTGCAAACAGCAGCAGGTGAGAATGGGAATAGGTACTGGCAAGGCAGTACTCCTGTGCTCCAGAGGCTCTGTGGGCTCCCACTAGTTTCTCAGGTGCAATTTAAAGTGCTGGTGTTGACTTACAAGGCCCTACATACTTAAGGGACTGCCCTGAGACTCTTCCCCAACCCCTAAGGTCAACTGGGAGCTAATGTGTGCGCCAGGTTTTCTTGGCAAAGCCATGTGGGGATTCTCATCCATGGTAATAGCTCCTCTGCTCTGGAACTTCCCCTCGTGGCCCATTGGAGCCCAAATCTGGATGTCCACTGGAAGAGCTGCATGACTTCTTTTATTAAGGCAAATATTTAGCAAGTAAGGGATTTAATATTTTATTTGATTTACAAGTTTTGTCTCTTCGTATAAGGTGCCATGAGCTCTTTTTGGGATGGCTGGTACATAAAGTTAACAAATAAAGATAAGAGGGTCATTTGGGTCTCTTTGATTAAAGACACGCTGAGTCTGGCCCCCATTAAGCTAGCCAGTTGTCTAAATAGTTAAGTGCTCGTTCTCTAGCAAAAGGAGGAAAGTTGAGGTAATGCCACAAATACAGAAGTTAACTTATCTGAGGCCATATTGGCAAGGTCTTAAAGCGAGCCCATTGTAAATGGAAGACATCAGAGATAGGGGTGAAGAAAAGCCTTGTTCTGGCTGTCAATCACTAGAGGTACTTTTGGCTCTGGTGATGCACTAGTCAGTTCTGATCCTGCTCAAGACTGAAAGGACAAATATACTCCCAAGTTGGGTGGTTCTGTCTGACGCCTGGGAACAAATGATAGGAAAGCACTAGTGTTTCCTCCTGCCAAAGCCAGACTCTGTAGATGTGGGTGCAGAATGTGTCAGGCAGCATGGGGGTATCTGGAGAGCTGGGGGAAGCTGCGTGCTTTTGAGATGCTTTAAAAGAAATGTGTACGCGTTCTGAAAACCTTGCAGGTTTCACAACCTTTCTGAAGGAGGACAGAACAGAATAAAGACCAATTAAGTCTTTGGACATGTCCGAGGCCAGTGTGCATTCGTGGGTGGAGCTGGCCTGAGATGCATGTGCCTGAAAGCAGAGGAGCTCTTGCCGAGATAATTGAAGGGGGCGCAAGCCAGATGCCAAGGGGACCCTATAAATCCAGGGCTAGCTGAAGCACAGACTCTACTGGAGATCATTTGTGGTACTGGAGCACCTTGCAGTCTATAATGTTATATTTCCAGCGCACCTGTTAAAGTGGTGTGCTGGAGGCACAAAGACTTGCAGTTTGTCCAAGATCACATAGGAGCCTGAGGCAGAGAACAAAAGTGAATACGTATCTTGGGCAATCCAGACAAGTGCTCCACTTACCTGGACCTTCCTTCCCTTCTTGGGTGGAAGACAGAGTGGGCTGCTGCCTGAATAAGGATGGCAGGACTTGATCTTGTTCCAATATCGTCTTCAAACTGACCTCTTACCAAAAGCTGTTGGTGGCCTTTTCTTATGTTGACTGAGGCTAAATGTTGGACCACCCAGGCCAGCAGTCTAATCCACTGTGGCACGTTTCGTGTCCCCACAACACAAAATTAAACAAATGGAAAACAGACTGGAATGTGGAAAGCATAAAAGGAGGCGTGAATGCCTGGAAACCAGCCAGAAGAGAATGGCTGAACTCCACTTTCACTTGGAGCCTGGGACCAAGTTGTAAAGGTTGTTAGCCTTTGGAGCCGTCCAGTGTGTGCATGTTAGCGGGAAACGAGCACAAGGGTTTATTACTCCCTATTCAGAGAGAGAAGCAAATGCAGACCCTTGCTAGTGTCCATGCATTAGTAAAATAACTTGGCAGTGGAGTTCGCTTGTCTTACTGGACCACCAAGGCACCGGGAAAATCTCCAAGGGTCAGGAGTGAGCAACGCTTCTGGGCATGAGGGGGACTTTGAGGCAGAGGCTGTTGCCATATCATTGGGATCTGAATATTCTGTGTGTAACCATACCCCAAAATACCTAGTCCCAAAACCCACAGCTCCAGCTGGGGCAAAAACTCAAAAGAAGGGAAGCCAGGTCTGTCCTGGTTTCTGGGCGTGAAATGCAGAAAGGCTCAGCTACCCAGCTACAGCCACGACAAGGACAAGGCTCCAAATCCTGACCCACATTGCACCAGGTGTTAATCCTGGTGCCTTGCTCCAGGGATTAATATCCCCCTACAGTATTATTACACCCCAAACCCAGGAAAACAAAGAGGGCACAAGGAAAGGGAGAGGAATCCCAGACCCAGAGACTCTCACTCCCCTGTACCTGAGAGTTCCTCTTCCATGGGGGGGGGGGGGG